TTCTGTCGAAAATGATTAACCTGGTCGAGATTCATGTCTGGCAGACCCGACCTGCAAGAATTTCTGTCCTCCTACAAGATTACGAGAGCAATGTCTACTGAGAACAATTTGCTGACCTGCAGACCTGTAAAATAGTTATACCCCTTTTCTCTTTAAAAAGTTTCAGTGCAAATTCCGCACTAACGCCAACGGTAAGACTAAAAATTGTACAACAGAAAATGTAATTTTTTTTCTCGAAATGAACCCAAAAATAACCTCCCTCATTATCAACATACAATTAATAAACACCCCCAAATGTTTTACTTATCGAAAATAATTTTCTGAAACTTGAAAACATTATTACCAAACTCGACTTCGTCACTTTTGCTGAACTGTTTTCTCGCTTTCAGAATGTTATTTTCATCAGTAGCGAACGATTATTTCCAATCAATTAATTCTGTCTCATTATTCGTTGCGTTTTCAGTCTTCGCAGTCATGTAATCGCTAACGGAAAGAGAAAGAATTCAAGTTCCAATCGTGGTTGCATATGGGAAACGGAACCAAGAGAAAGGATGTCAGTTATATTCAAATAGGAAGCATCCCAATCGAACACTAATTTCACGTTCGACTATCGGTTGAGGAAAAATTCAGGAATGTGGGTCACGTGAGAAATCGCCGAAGATGCGCTCGTCCAAGTTGAGGAAGAGGTCGAACATAACAATTTGTAATGCAATCCGATAGATTTAAAGCAACGAAAGAACTCAGGACACGGTTTTATATTCAAAACAAAACGAATTTGGAGAAGAAAAAAACAGAATCTAGTTGAATCCATCGCAGCCGTGAGAATTGAATTTAAGCAATAAAATTTTTTCAAATCGATTGCAAAATTTGAACCAAACAGACAAGGAACGAGTAAAAACGTGGAATAATTTAAATAGAAAACTCAAAGCGTTTCATGATATTCTATATTACTACAAAACACCTATAACATTTTTCATAAAATTTGTTCTACTGTCGAGCAGTTTCAGCAATATTATTCACTTGTTAAACAGTGTATGAAATGTCAAACACTGACAAATTCACTCGTGGCTGGTAATTATGGATGCGCAATAGTGCTAAAAAATAAAATTATGAGACACAAACATCAAAGATTCCGCCAAGAGTGACACTACTGTCACTCTTAGCTACACTGATGTGGCTGTACGCTCTACACTTTATTTATGGATTTATCTACATTGCCTCATTA